CATCCATGTCCCCTCCGTGCATCACGGCCCCTCCGCGTCCCCGTGTGCCTCAGGGTTGAGCATCCATGTCCCCTCCGTGCATCACGGCCCCTCCGTGTCCCCGTGTGCCTCAGGGCTGAGCCGTGCACCCCGTGTGCCCTCAAGGCTCTGCATCCATGTCCCCTCCGTGCATCACGGCCCCTCTGTGCCCCTCGTGTACTTCAGGGCTGTGCATTCACGTCCCCCCGTGTCTCAGGGCCCCGCTGTGATCCTCTGTGCTCAGGGCTGAGCCACGTTCCTGCATCCTCCTGGTGCTTCAGGGCTGAGCCATGTTCCCGTATCCTCCTGGTGCTTCAGGGCTGAGCCATGTTCCCGTATCCTCCTGGTGCTTCAGGGCTGAGCCATGTTCCCGTATCCTCCTGGTGCTTCAGGGCTGAGCCATGTTCCCGTATCCTCCTGGTGCTTCAGGGCTGAGCCATGTTCCTGTACCCCCCAGGTGCCTCAGGGCTGTGCACCCTTGTCCCCTCTGTGCATCACGACCTCTCCATGTCCCCACGTGCCCCAGGGCTGAAACATGTCCCCCATGTGCATGAGGGCTGTGTACCCGTGGGCCCCATGTGCTTCATGGTCCCTCCATGCCCCCCATGTGTCTCAGGGTCCCTCCATGTCCCCGTGTGTCCCAGGGCTGAGCCACGTCCCCCGTGTGCCCCACAGCCCCTCCATGTGAGCTGGGTGATGTGGTTTAGTGCCCTAGGGGTCATGGTGGTCGTGCTGGGTGGACGGTTGGACTGGATGATCTTTAAGGTCTCTTCCAGCCTCGATCATTTTATGTCCCAGTGTGCCTCAGAGCTGCTTAAGGAGCTGTGCCCCCCATGTGCCTCACAGCCCCTCCATGTTCCCAATGACCCCACCTGCCTCAGGGCCATGCTGTGTCCCCCATGTCCCCTCCATGGCCCTGCCCCATTCCCCAGTTATCTCCTGTACTTTACGGCCCTGCCACGTCACCCTGTTCCCCATGTACCTCAGGTCGCCACCATGTTCCTGGGCCACCATGGTGTCCCCCTTGGTGCCCAGTCACTGCCACCCACCCCAGGACACAGCGTTCCCCTGAGGGTCCCACCACTGCCTCCCACCACCCCTGTACCTTCCCAAAGCCATGATGGCACTCGGCATTGTTGGCCACCAGCCAGTGGTGGCCTCCAACGACGCACAGAGGCTCTGTTAAAACAGCCTCTCCCACACATGCTTCTTCTTAACAAATGACATCGTTTCAGGTACTTTTTATGACAGTGTCAACAAAGTTGGGCCCTTCCCTGGATCTGTCGAGACATGTGGCCACAAACAAGCCAAAGAGAGCGAAGGCAAGCAGGAGACTCTTCCAAGCAGGACAAAGGAAAGGAAGGAAAACACCAGTTGCTGGGAAAAGGTGGCTCAGGGGAGGTGTTCAATACACCAGGTGAAAATGGAGCTACACACCCTCTGAGTGTAAAGTAGACGGGCTCTTTGTAGATACTGTTTAAGAGCAAATAACGCTGAAGGACATTGCTTTGCTCCAGGAAGCAGAAACTCTGGTTGTAAAATAGACTTTTTGAAGATACTGTTTAAGAGCAAATAACACTGAAGGACATTGCTTTGCTCCAGGAAGCAGAAATGCTGTTTGGGTAATCCCATGGTCCTTATAATCAAACTTTCTCTCTTCCATAAAGAATTTTAACTCCTTTTTTGCTGTGTAAGTGAACACAAACCAGTTTTCAATATCATGGCTTTTAGGTCTGTTGAGTGGCTCCCTGTTGCTGCAAGGCAAGGAGAGGTACAGACCCTGCTATGTCTTCACTAGATTGCTCACTGATTTATTGACTTCTTACCATTTCCTTGTCTTTTGTCTTCTTTCTAAGTCTTATTTACAGCAGCCTTTTCAAGCTCCCCTTTTTCAGACAACCAGTTGTGCAATGGAGTAGCGCAGCACGTAGGTGAGGCAACGAAACGAGAAAACATTTTAATATGTTCTCCATTATGCTCCCAAGACATCGTCAGTCCAACTGAGAGCCTGCCAGAGGGTGAATAACACGCCTCGTGGAAGCAGCTGTGTTTATAATTCCCATGGCACGCCTCCGCAGGGTGCAGCTCTGGTGCCCTTGTGTCGCAGCGGAGGGAAGCGGTGCCGGCTCCTACGTTTGGTGGAGGGTCAAAATGCTGCCACAGAGCTTTCTCTGGTGGTGAGGGTATGAACATTCTTACAGCTCCCTGGGGAAAAGTACAGAGCGGCTCCATGGGCGTTCTGGATGGGCATGGGGACAGCCAAGTGTTCATGTTGTAGGATCAGGGACATATAGTGAGAGGTACCCCTTTAGGAGCATCTTTGGAGTGCTGAGTAGAATCACAGAATCAGTAAGGTTAGAAAAGTCCTCTAAGACCATCGAGTCCAACTGTTAACTCAGCACCACCATGGCCACCACTAAACCATGTCCCCAGCTGCCACCCCTACAAAAGACAAATTTAAGTCCCTCCAGGGATGGTGATTCCACCACTGCCTTGGGCAGCTTGTGTCTGACCACCCTTTCAGAGAAGAAACTTTTCCTAATATCCAATCTAAGCGGATATTCAGATCTCCCACTGTGCCACAGGACACATCTATAGTACTAAATTCAGCCACTCCTGGGGACACTGCTGGGTACAGGAATGTGATCATGTGTAATGACAAAAGCAAGAGTTGCAGCGAGCAGGGACATGTCAGAGAGGAATGGGGGGGGGTGAACATGATGGGAACCACCAGACTTCATGCCACAAACTGACTGTAAAGGTCCGTTTTTTATCAAGCTCATCCAAAGTACCAGCTCTGAAATGGATTTTCGGAGGTTGCATTCAGCTGTCAGTTGGTGGTGGCAGCCTCTGCATTCCCTCAGCTCACCATCCTGCACTGCACGAACAATAAAACCTCTCTCCTGTAAACCTCAGTGATGGGGGGTTATATTTAAGGGATCTGTATCTATTTTGCTGGGTTATGCCCCAGCGTGCCCGTTTGTTTTGACAGAGCCTGTTTTCCCACCCTGTCAGCTCCTGCAAGGCACTGGCAGCATCCTCAGCAGTTTCTTGTACCTGTGCCATGGCGGTTTCCTATTTGGGTGTCTGGAACACTGCAGGGCCCTGCCTGTGTGTCCTGCTCAGCTCCTGTCTCTGCTGCCCTCTCGTGATGCCTTTGGGTGTGCTGGGCTTGGGGGAAGACCTTGCTTCCCCAATCAACTCTGAAAGATGTCAACGCCAGCACCATCGTTAAAAGATCTATTTATTTTCAATAATACTGATGATTCCTGAATTTTACAAAACTCCACATCGAGTTATTCCTTGGTTTTGTGTGTCCTCCCCCACTTACACAAGGGAGCCCCTCTGAAGGGCTCATCCTGCATCACCACTCAAAGTGGTGTCCCAGCTGCTCCTTACTCCAAACAGTTCCTTGTCTGCACATGGACAGATTGCTCCTTTTTTTTCTCCCTCAGTAGAAATTAAGTAGCTAAATTCTGTTAGTGATTCAACTCTTTTTTTTTTTTTTTTTTTTGATGTAAACAGGTCTCTGTATTCACTGTGGGCTGCAGCAGCTCCCT